ATGTGGTGCTGAGGAATCGAACCCAGGGCCTCATGCATGCAAGGCAAGTGCTCTACCACTGAGCCACCTTCCCAGCCCCTTGAGCTGAGCTTTTATGCTCAAGGCTAGCATTTTACTACTTTGAGCCACAGTACCACTTCTGATTTTCTGGTGGTTAATTGGAGATGAGTCTCATAGACTTTGCTATTCTGGCTGGCTTTGAACCATGATCCTCAGATCTCAGCCTCCTGAGTAGCTAGGATTGCAGGTGTGAGCTACTGGTGCCCAGTGAAAATACCCACTCTTCTAAAAATTAAGAAGATGGTGGGCTGGAAATGTGGCTTAGTAGTAGAGTGCTAGCCTAGCATGCATGAAGCCCTGGGTTCAATTCCTCAGTACCACATAAAAAGAAAAAGCCGGAAGTGGCGCTGTGGCTTCAAGTGGTAGAGTGTTAGCCTTGAGCAAAAGAAGGTAAGGGGACAGTGCCCAGGCCCTGAGTTCAAGCCCCAGGACTGGCAAAAAAAAAGAAGACCGTCATGTGCCCCTGGAGCTTTTCCACACCACAGACTGAAAGTCTCAAAGCAGCCAACTTCTAGTAATTTTTCTTGCTCCATAACCTGCTGATTCTTTGGTTCACCAGTATGATTCAAGACATTAATTCTAAAATGGACTACTATGTGACTCAGTTTAAAATGTTTACTATGTGCCAATCTACTTTTTTTATCTCAGATATTCCGAAATAGCATTATTGACTATTAATTTTGAATATTATTGAAATAATATTTACCAAAAAATCAGAAGTGAAGCAGCAACTCAAGTGGCAGAATGACAGCCTTGAGCTAAAAAACTAAGGCACAGTACCCAGGTTCTGAGTTTAAACTCCAATAATAGTAGACACACAAATTGACATAATCTTTGTCAATCAGGCACAACCCTATGAGCAAATCCTTTTTAGCAAATTCAGAAACTTAATCTTACTTCCCATAGGCATAGGAGGCAGTTACAAAAATCCTGCCTACTACAGCATATGAACTGCTAGAGAGACTCAAAGCTACTGGGTGCTGATGGCTCATGAATGTAATTGTATTTGAAGATTCAGGTTCAAAGCCAGTAAGGACAGACAAATCCAAGGGACTCTTACTTCCAGTTTACTAACAAAAAAACAGATGTGGAAGTATGGCTCAAGTGATAGAGTGCTAGCCTTGAGTAATAAAGATCAGGGAAAGTGCTTAGGCCTTGAGTTCAAGCCTCAGGATTGCATCCCCCCAAAAGAGAAAGAAAAAGAACCTGATATATATATTTTTTTGTCAGTCATTGGTCTTGAACTCTGTGCCTGGGTACTGTCCCTGAGCTCTTCAGCTCAAGGTGAGCGCTCTACCACTTGAGCCACAGTGCCACTTCCAAGAAAAAGAAAAGAAACTCCAAGGCTTCAAAAGAGCACCGAATAAATTTCTTTAAACAGAGACAACTTTTGAGGTCCCTGGAATAGATTGTGATTAAGGAGGACTGCCTGCTTTCACTGCTGATTAAAGCCTTTCCCTCCCTTTGTGGAATTCTGTACACATCCAACTCAAATCTCTGCGAAGGCTTGAGGAAGTTCCCCTTCAATCCATGGAGACACTCCCACTTCCCCCTGCACATAACAAGTAAGCACAGCAGGACTCTACCAATAACCAAATCCTACCCAGGTAACCTTCCTGCTAAGAGATGTCTGGTCATACTGACTGGAGGGAGACATTGTGTCCCATCAGAACCAAAAATATTCCAGAACCTGAAACAGCCTGTTCAATCTCTTTCTTGAACATTTCCTCACAACCATAATTAATAACTAATTCTAATTTTCAAACACTGGCTTCTCTGAATTTATTTCTAACTGATAACTCAGGGAGAATATTAACAGTCTGGCTTATTTTACTGTGTCCAGGACGGACTTGTTTACTGTGCAAACTAACACTCAAGACAATCATTAGTAAGGCAAAATCATATGATTAAACATTTGCTTAAAAAATGCATATATTAAAGCCTATCATAGAGAAGTTAAATAGAACCAATATTAAATGAATAACTGCTTTATTTATCTTGAGACAAACTATCAATAGTTTGGAAAGGCAAAACACTTCCTCATGTTCTCATCTCATGGTAAAAACTGTCTGGAATTAGTACAATACCTGAGCATCCGAATGTGCTTCAAATTGTGCAATCCCACCTGTGCTTTGGTCAAAGGTATACATGAGGCGTATGTCTTCTTCATGTAATTCATGGCCTTCCACAACAATGCTTCCTATAGGAAAAGCAGACACCATGAGCTCCTCTTCAAGCACCTCTCTACCAGTGGTATTGTATTACATATGCCATTTTTGGTGGTATTAGGGGTGGAACTCAGGGCCTATGTTCTATCATCTAACCTATATACCCCAGTCCTTTTGTGTGTTCATTTTTTCAAGATAAGGGCCAGGAGCTGGCTTCTGACATATCCTCCCACCTAGAGCCTCCCACGTACATGGGATGACAGGCTTGTGTCACCATGGCCAGTTTGATGTGTCTTGCTAATTTCTGCCTGGGCTTACTGTGAACTAAGATCTTTGTAATCTCTGCCTTTCAAATGGATGATATTATGGGTATGAGCCACTGCATTCAGCTTCAGAAGCCAGAATTTTAACAGTACATTATCACTAATTATGCTAGATATTCAATGGCATAGGGTGGGCACCTGTTTGTTAGATGGATGTGTGTGGTGGGCTGGGGGTCATATTTATCTTTTCTGTAAATGATAAGAATAATCTTGTGTAAGTGTGTCCTAGTCCTGAGGCTTGAACTCAGGGCCTGGATGCTGTCCCTGAGCTTTTGTCCACTTGAGCCACAGCTCCACTTCGGGATTTTTTGGTGGCTAACTAAGACAAATGTCTCATGGACTTTCCTGCCGAGGTTGGCTTAGACCTCAGCCTCCTAAAGATTATAAGTATGACCACTATAGCCTGGCTACAGGAAAAAGTTTTGATTTATAGAAAGGTTGTGATGATACATGTGTAACAAGAGCCGCCATATGAATTATCCCTTGGCCTGGACCTAAATGGGCCCTGTGTGAGCAGATACCTACCACTCTTCTGGAACTCCTCCAGCGCCTCACTGCTCAGCTGCTTGATGGCCATCATCACTGATTTAAAGGCCCCCTTTAGACGTTTCCCAAGGACCATGTGATCTGGTTCTGCCCTTAGTCGAATGCCATATTTGTTTTTATCAGTAGATAGTGTAACTTTTCGAACATTCAATTCCTAGAGGTAGTACAAAAGAGAAAATAAAAATGTGAGAAATGAAACCACTTAACACAAAAACGTATTTGTGACTGTCCACAGCAGCACTACTCATACTAGATAAAAAGCAGAGACAGCCCCAAAGTCCATCAACTGTCATGGGTAAATGCAACCTGGCATACAATGGTGTATTATTTAGCACTATAAAGGAATTATGCACTAATTCATGTTACTATGCAAATGAAGACACTACCCCTAGTGAAATAAGTCAGTGACAACAGATTATATAAATTGTGATTTCATTTATATGAAACATTCACAGTAGGCAAATTGACAAGCAGAAAAAGTTATGGCTGCCAAGGGCTGACTTTTTGATGTTTTTTGATGTTATAAGTCAAAATCAGGGCTTCACACTTCCTAGTCAAGTGCTTTGCGACTAAGCTACATCCCAGCTAGCGAATGGTCAATTTTATGGGGAAAAGATATATTTGAAAATGTTCTAAACTTGTGATAATATCTATATAATTCTATAAATGTACTTAAGAACCACTTAGTTGTATGGTGTGTGTGTGTGTGTGTGTGTGTGTGTGTGTGTGTGTATGTGTATAAAGTCTCATTACTAGATGCCAGTGGTTCACACCTGTAATCCTACTTACTCAGGAGACTGAGGTCTAAGAATCATGGTTCAAAGACAGCCTGGGCAGGAAAATCAGTGAGAGTCTTATCTCCAATTAACCACCAGAAAACTGGAAGTGGCGTTGTGGCTTATAGTGTTAGACCACTACTAGCCTTGATCAAAAGCTCAGGGACAGCACCCAGCCCAAGTTCAAGCCCTATGACTAACAAAAAAAAAGTCTCTTAGAACAAAATAAAGACAATTTTGGTTTAGGTGCAGGAAGCAACTCTATATCAAAAAACAAGCTAGGCACAGGTGGCTCACCTTTGCAATCCTAGCTACCAGGAGGCTGAGATTTTTTTTTTGTCAGTTGTGGGCACTCTGGGTCTGGGCACTGTCACTCAGCTCTTCAGCTCAGGCAAGTGGCTTACCACTTGGGCCACAGTGCCACTTCTGGTTTTCTGATAGTTAATTGGAGATAAGAGTCTCACAGACTTTTTGCCCAGGCTGGCTTTGACCTGCGATGCTCAGATCTCTGGAGTAGCTAGGATTACAGATGTGAGCCACAGGCGGCTGGCCCAGGAGGCTGACATTTGAGGCTTGTAGTTCAAAGCTAGTCCGAGCAGTTAAGTCCATGAGACTTTTATCACCAAAAAGTTAGAAGTAGAGCTGTGGCTTGAATTGTACAGTGAGTGCTAGTCATGAACAAAAAAAGCTAAGTGTAGCACTTAGGCCCTGAGTTCCAGACCCAGTATCAGAATAAAAGCAAAAAGAAAAACGAACTTCACAGAATATCGAAATGATCCTCTTAAAAAGTTTTTTTTTTTTTAAAGATGAACCAATATAGACACATTGTTTACCTTACCTCAATGATATACTTCTCCAAAGACTTGATATCTTTAAGAGCTTCTGGATCTTGATGGATAACAATAATTTCTTTCAAAGGATACTAGGAAGAAAGGAGAGAAAAAAGTTCACTAGGCAGCTAGTCCTCCAAATGGTAGAAAAATGGGATATGAAATGTTTATCTGAAACTCAAGTCCTATTGTTATTGTTAAGCTAAACTACTCTCATTGTAGAAAGGGAAAAAAATTCATAGCTGGGTGTTCTCTATGTTAACAAAGCATTCCTAAGAAATAATCATTTATGTCTCTATAAAACAATAACAAAAAAAAAATCAAACCTTTATTGGAATAGTTTTGCGGTCCCGGATCACCCGTCCAAGTTCAATGACAGATTGCATTCTAGACACGGCACCCTCAGTTTTCTTGTCAATCAGTTCCTCTCTGATTGGTAGAGGTAGGAATATAAAAGAGATGAGACTCAAAAGGTGAAACTCCAAAACAACAGTCTACACCACATGAAAAAAAGGTCAGGCTAAAGACGGGATGGGTTGGGCTACATTTCCTGGTGAGCATGTGGGAAAGGATATCACTTGGGCTTGAGTTGGGGGACACATAGTAAGCTTCCAAGGTGCCCTAGGATTCTGTTATTCCCTGCCCTTCCCCTTCCCCCCAAGAATCCCTCCTACTACCTGCTAATACAGGCAGCATCCTGCAGCTCTAACAGCTTTGGTGGGATGAAGTGCATGGAAGGGCTGGAGCAGGGAAGGGTCTGTTGTCTGTGTTCCTTCCCTGAGGGCTTGGGCACCTACATGCAGCTCCTCTTCTTGTGGCCTATATAAAGGTTATCTATTTGATTCCTACCGAACATGTGGCAGCATGAGGTAGTGAATACTCAGTGTGTCCTTGTCCTGGACAGAAGCAGGGTCTATGAGCATCTTTAGATTCTGGTACATCAATTCAGTGAGAAATGGAGTGTAGGGAGCCTGTATGAGGACAGAGAACATCATGTTAGTTATATATAGACATCACCAGCTGACCTCATTTATACTGAGAAACTGCAAGTAAACATTTTAGAGAATGACAGTGATACGCAGACACTGATGTGAGATTACCAAACATGCCTTCTGAAAGGGAATCGACTTCATATTTAAGAAGAACAGTAGTAGGGCTACAGCGATAGGATCCAAATGTATCTAGACTTCTGGATGTCTAAAAACTAGAATCTCCTGACCAAGTACCAGTGAAATCAATATTTGTGTAGAACTGAATGTCAAACCTAGAAACCTCATCTGTAATTGGGGGAAAATACTACCTGCCTCACAGGGCACAGGTGTCTGAGGTTAGGCATGGAAGGCACAAGACCTGTATGAGGCAAATTCTCCTGTTAATGTTATGGAATTAATAGACACTTTTTTTTTTTATCATACTGGCATAGCAGAACAGGATACAGGGAATTCATTTCTCACTTTGTTAATTAATAGTTTGACTGACAGGAACTTGTTAAAACTATTACTTGCAAGCCAGGCACCAGTGATTCACACTTGTAATCCTTGCTACTCAGGAGGCTGATATCTGAGGATCAGGGTTAAGCTACCTGGGGGCAGGAAAGTCTATGAAATTCACCTCCAATTAACCATCAAAAAGAGAGCTAGCCTTCAGAAAAAAAAAAGCTAAAGGGCACCCAGGACCTAAGTGGGTTTTTTTTTAATTTGTTTTTTTGTAAGTTGTGGGGCTTAAACTCTGGGCCTGAGCACTGTCCCTCAGCTCTTTAGCTCAAGGCTAGCACTCTACCACTTGAGCTACAGCACCACTTCGTTTTCTGGTGGCTATATTGGCAGTAGGAGTCTCATAGACTTTCCTGCCCCGGCTGGCTTTAAACTATGATCCTCAGATCTTAGCTTCCTGAATAGCTAGGATTACAGGCAGTGGCTGGCTGAGGACCTGAGTTTAAGCCATGGTATTGGCACCAAAAAACACCAATTATGTATGCATTTTTTTGGGGGGGGGAGGGAAGGGTGGATAATTGGGGTTAAGAGTCACAGATACTCTTTTACCTGGGCTGGCTTCAAACTGCAATCTTCAGATCAGTAGCTAGGATTACAGGTGTGAGCCACCTTGCCTGGCTTGCATGTCCACCCTCACCCCCCGCCCCCCCCCCCCTCCCGCCATGCTGAGTTGAGAATATTATCCTTGTATGGTTAGATATGTAAGTTCAGGAACCTTCTGGTTCCTTATAATTATGGAACCCACTTCTTTCTAAGCACAGATCCTTGTCTGAATGTGACTATATTGCTGGAAATTAGGAATCTGTATTTCTTAAGCCCTTATTTGATATGTATAAGCTGGTGGGATTTTTGAAAAGGAACTAGGTTTGAGCTGTTTTAATACTTCTATACAAAATAGACGAATAGAGAACTACACCCAAAGGGCACTGCAAGTATCCCACAGCCCCAGTGGTTCAGGAGGGGCCAAGCAATCTCACCATCAATCTGCACAGAGAAAGTAGGACACTGAACAAGGTCTCCAGGGCCATGACACAATCTTCCAACCCATTTTCACCCTAGCAATTGAAAAGACAATCATTCAACTACTAAAAAATCACTTACCATAAAACAAATGTTTATTAGAAAGAAGCAACCCACAAAGGCGGGCATTGGTGGCTCACACCTGCAACCCTAACTAATCAGGAGGCTAAGAGCTGAGGATCATGGTTCAAAGCTAGTTTGGGCAGGCAAGTTTGTGGACTTTTAACTACAATTAAGCATCAAAAAAGCCATATGTAGGGCTGGGAAGGTGGCTCAGTGGTAGAGCGCTTGCCTGGTATGCCTGAGGCCCTGAGTTCGATTCCTCAGCACCACATAAGCAAAAAGAAAAAAAAGCCACAAGTGGCGCTGTGGTTCAAGTGGTAGAGCGCTAGCCTTGAGCTGAAGAGCTGAGGGACAGCGCCCAGGCCCAGAGTTCGGGCCCCACAACCGGACCCCCCCCAAAAAAAAAGCCATATGTAGATGGAACTGTGGCTCAAGTGGTAGAGCACTAGACTTCAGAAAAAAAAAAATCAGGGACAGCACACAGGCACTGAGTTCAAGCCCCAGGACCAGCACAAAAATCCTGCTAAACAAACAGGCAAGGCAAGAGACCAGAGCAAGAAGAAATGGCAACTACCAGTGCTTGGAGTCATGCTCCATAGTTGCTCTGTGGGCCTCAAGGAAAGTCAGAAGGGAGTCTAGGAAAGGGCAGGCATACGTCTGTTTCTTGCTAAAGTATGGGCTTGGATTAGGATTCACCTATTTTTTTCCAACCTTGTTGGCATGAGGCATATGTCAGCTTCTCTTCATTAAGATGATCTTTATTGTCTGGGATCCTTCCTTTCTTAGCCTCCCAATCAGTGCTCAGCTTTTTTTCTTTCTTTTCTTTTTTTTTTTTGGGGGGGGGGGTCTGGTTGTGGGGCCTGAACTCTGGGCCTGGGCGCTGTCCCTCAGCTCTTCAGCTCAAGGCTAGCGCTCTACCACTTGAGCCACAGCACCACTTCCAGCTTTTTTCTTTTTGCTTATGTGGTGCTGAGGAATCGAACCCAGGGCCTCATGCATGCAAGGCAAGCACTCTACCACTGAGCCACCTTCCCAGCCCCACCGCTGTCTTAGGGCTTACCAGTCTTAGGGCTTGAACTCAGACCTGAGCACTGTCCCTGAGCTTTTTTTTTTTTTTAATATATATTTTTTTATTGTAAAGATACTGTACAGAGAGGTAATAAGTACATTTCCTATCAAGCTCCATGAGCTTCTCTTGCTTAAGGTTAGCACTCTATCACTTGAGCCTCAGAGGCACTTCTGGCCTTTTCTGTTTATGTGGTACTGGGGAATCAAAACCAGAGCTTCATGCATTCTAGGCAAAAACTCTACTACTAAACTACATTCCCAGCCCCACAGCTGTTTTTTCTTTTCTTTCTTGTGTGTATGTGTGTGTGTTTACCCTTTAAGTAGTACTGGGTTGTGAATGCAGGGCCTTGCACTTGCTAGGCAAATACTCTACCACTTGAGCCATACATTCAGCCCTGTTTTGCTTTTATTTTTTGGGTGGGGTCTCACATTTTTGTCCAGGGCCAACTTCACATCACAAACCTCTACCTATACCTCCTAAGTAATCAGGATGATAGGCAAAGTACCACTATTCTTAGCAGTGTTGACTAAGATGAATCATTAATAACTTTTTGTCTGAACTGGCCTCAAACTACCATACTCTCTCAATCTCTGCCTCTTGGGTAGCTAAGATTATAGGCATGAATCACCATGTTTGGCCCCTTGATTTATTTTTTTGGGATAGTGTTTTGTGTCCAGGGCTGGCCTCTAAGCCTGGTAGATCCTTCTACCTATGCTCCTCACATAAATTGGGATTGTAGGAATGAGCTACTGTACCTGGTTTCCCACTGTTATTTTACATGGAGTTAAGTAATGAGATGGGGCTCATGTATCTTAATTATAAATATGTAATATATAGTAATATAATATACATATATATTACATATCTATCAGAAATATACATGTATCCTAAATACACACACACACACACACACACACACACACACACACACACACACGTGTATGTATGTGTGTTCATGTATCCTACATCCCCAACAGCTAAGAAGAGTTTTGTGGACAGCAAACACTTGATAAATCACCATTTCTCTAGGAGGTAGAAGCAAGGAAGTGCCTCTCTCAAGACCTCAGCTACACCTGAGAAATCCAACTGCAAGACATTTGCTCTATTCAGTCCTACATGGGACTCACCGCTTTTCCCCTAAGATGACATGTCCACAGTTGTCGTATGAAAATACACAAAATGACTTTTTTCCCCCCAAAATGACTCTTAAAGGTTCCTATCAAATGGCAATAACTACAGTTAATATACAACATAAAAGGAAAAGAAAAAGCTTCAAAACCAGAATTTCTGACAATGTTGTTCTCCCCTTTGGCTGTTCTCATGCTCTTTCAACTCTCAAACATCATGCACTTTTAGCTTTACCCAACAGCACTTACCTTTAATCTTCTGCGGTTCATTCTGACATACCAATTGGTGAGAGTATCCACAAACTTGACCAGGCGAGGCACTACAGTATAAAGCCTGTAAGCTACAAGTAAGAGAATCAAACTCAGGCAACCTAGGCCAGGCCTTGGGATGGAAGGATGGACACAATAAAGAACAAGCAGCCTCTAATATTCAGGGTCTTCATGCATTAAGGAGAGAAGAGTCAGACTGAAGGAAACACAAATGGCTAATCCATAAAGGATGTACTATATATCCTAAATTATTTCAAGAGTGCAAAACACTATTCACTTTCTTGGAAGCTTAAGATTCTGGGAAGTTCAGGGTTCAACTCTTTTGTTTTGTGCTGGTATTGGAGTTTGAACTTGGCTTGAGTGTTGTGTTATACCTAAGTTTTTTCTCTCAAGGCTGGCACTCTACCACTTGAGCCAAGCTCCATTTGTGGCTTTTGCTGGTTAACTAGAAATAAAGAGTGTCTTAATCTTCAGATTTCAACCTACTGAATAGCTAAGATTATAGGTGTAAGCTACTAGTATCTGACATGGGTTCAACTCTTAAGAGAATAAATGAGTCTCATACATAATGGGCAGCTAACTAGGGCCACCAATAGTAACTAAATGATGCAATCACAACTCTATGAGACAGGATCTCCTTGTTCTCCCAGATGTGAGGGCCATGGGCATGGAGGTTATGCTGGCCAGGTTGGGTTCGAAATGTAGTATGTTTGCCTTCTTGCATATGAACCACTCATGTAACTAGTGAACTCTAATTCCTAGGTAGACTGGCTCAGGTTGGGTTACAGACTTTCCAGATCCAGCTTCATGAAAGTATTGGCAACTGGTGATGAAAGACAGCAGGAGGGCTGGGAAGGTGGCTCAGTGGTAGAGCTCTTGCCTTGCATGCCTGAGGCCCTGGGTTCGATTCCTCAGCACCACATAAGCAAAAAGAAAAAAAGCCAGAAGTGGCACTGTGGCTCAAGTGGTAGAGCGCTAGCCTTGAGCTGAAGAGCTGAGGGACAGCGCCCAGGCCCAGAGTTCAGGCCCCACGACCGGACCCCCCCCAAAAAAAATAAATAAATAAAAAGGAAAGATGGCAGGAGCCTGGTGCAATAATCCTGTTTCCCTCCACTTGTACAATGCCTGAGTGTGTGGGGAGAGGCGGCATGCTTCAAGCACCATTGTTCCCTGGCAGAAGTCAGCCTTGTAGTGTCTTCCATCTCCATTATATTAATAGAACCAACAGTCTCTTGATTGTGATCTTTATGCATGTTTAGTACGGTGATCACATTTTTGTGACACTTGTAGTATTATCAGACTCCAAGTCCTGGGGGGGTGGGAAGAAGGGAGTGGGCAGACTAACTACAGTTAGTCTCTTGCTCTGACCAGAGGGTACTGTCAAACAGGGTACAGGAAAGACAGGTTAATCTTCCTGGGGTGCACAGAGATCACACACTTGTTGCCCTCACTGTACTAATAATGAATACTACTGAGTCCGTTTCTGAGGCTCAAAGAACGGAGTCAACCCTCAGGTGAGTGGTAAAGCTAGTTTTTGTTTTTTTTTTTTTGCCAGTCCTGGGGCTTGAGCTCTACCACTTGAAGCCACAGTGCCACTCCAGCCTTTTCTGTTTATGTGGTACTGAGGAATCAAACCCAGGGCTTCATGCACGCTAGGCAAGCACTCTACCACGAAGCTACATTTCCAGCCCAGTAAAGCTAGTTTTGAATGCATGGCTAACAATAAAGCCTCTACTCTTCTGTAGGGGAAATGAGGTTGCCGGTCTCCTCATACAGGTACCCAAGGCCTCTGAAACAAACCTTTCTATATGCCTTAACAAAATGGCAAGTACCCAGAAGACACTTACAAAAAGAATAAACAGTTCTTATCCATGGGAGAAGAGCCTGAGAGAAACTTACCTGCCATTTCAGTCTCAAAGAATCCTATGAGTGACTGCATGAAGGATAGGATCCATCGGTCTGTGATGTTAGGGCTTTCTTTAACTGTGTTCTCATTGTAAAGGAATTCTATTTCTTCCTCCTAAAAATGGAAAAATTAATTGCCTGGGGGGAAATTACATCACTAAAATGGAAAGGAAACAGCACAAAATCTGTGTTTGCAGCCTAAACTTCTGATATTTAGTACTATTTCCAAGACAAGTACTAACTTGGGACATAATGTCTTAAATTAATTACGGTAATAAGTGAAAAAACTCTTATACTACTGCACTAAAGAGCGGCTCTAAAGCTGGGTGTCAGTGGCTCACACCTGTAATACTAGCTACACAAGAGGCTAAGATCTGAGGATCGTAGTTCAAAGCCAGTCTGGACAGAAAAGACCTGTGAGACTCTTCTCCAATGAACCATTTAAAAACCAGATGTAGAATTGTGGCTCAAAGTGGTAGAGCACTAGGCTTGAGCTAAACAGCTCAGGGACAGTGACTAGGTTCTGAGTTCAAGCCCCATGATAGACAAAAAAAAAAGGAGTGGTTCTAAATTGACATTTGAAAATACTGTGTAGGACTTGATTTCTTTCTACTCTGCACTTATCTTTCTTGATCCTAAAGGCCTTTTTACCTATCTCTGCTCTGAAAGCCCAACTCCCTTCATGGTCTGGTTTTCATGTAGCACCAGCACCAACTGTCAGGACAGAGGTAATAGAATTTCTCCCCAGAATTAAGTGTCTCATGGTAGGTTGCAGTCTATGTCTTTATTTTTGTGCCAATATTGGGGCTTGGAGGGCCTGGGTGCTGTCACTGAGGTTTTTTTTTGCTCAAGGCTAGTGCTTGTACTACTTGATCTACAACTCCACTGTTGGCTTTTTTGTAGTTAACTGGAGGTAAGAGTCATAGACTTTCATGTTCAGGCTGGCTTGGAATCTTGATCCTCAGATCCCAGCCTTCCAAGTAGCCACCAATGCTCAGTTTATGTCTTTTTATTTTTTTTGTCGGTCATGGGGCTTGAACTCTGGGCCTGGGTGCTATGCCTTAGCTTTTCAGCTCAAGGCTAGAGCTCTTCCACCTGACCCACTGTGCCACTTCAGGTTTTCTGAGTGGTTATTAGAGATAAGGGTCTCATGAACTTTTCTGCCCAGGCTGGCTTTGAACCATGGTCCTCAGATCTCAGTCTCCTGAGTAGCTAGGGTTACAGGTGTGAGCCACCAGCGCCCGGCAGTTTATGTCTTCCTAATGTTCCTGGTAGGGACCCCCACCATGGGCAGCAGTATTGCTTTTTTGTTTAATTCCACACCATCATTTGTAGAGCACACTTGTCTTCTAAGGATTGTCTTCCCTACTTGGCAGGATCACATGCGGAAAAGGTGGAAGGGTTACAAAGAGAAGAACAGCTAGGAGCTCAGGAACATGTTTGTCTTTTTTATTTACCAGGGAAAAGCATGACTGGGAGGCCCAGGGTGCCCTTACTAGCAGAAGCTGGACTAAATACAGAGGAAAATCACACTCACTAAATAGAACAGTTACTACAAGTTCTGTTGTTAGATAGTGGGATAACAGGATGAGCGGGCTTGGAGCTAACACCACCTTAGTCTTAATGCACACAAAGGAACATGTATTGGTGATAAAGATGATGGGCCCTAGCAATGGCCAACTCAGGACAGAGGATGGACCTGAGCCCAAGAACTTCTCAGCATGGGTTTCCTGGATGGGCAGAGATCACCACTCTGAAGGACACATGCACACATATCACAACTGGCATTTTCTATCTTAACAACCTATCTAGAGCTGCTGTTACAAACCAATGCCAATCTAGAGTGGTCTTCCCTGACCACCCTCTCAAACAGGTGACCCTATCCCCCAGGCTCTGTCTCTACCCTTCATTCAGGTGCTTACTCTTGATAGACTTTTGTTGCTGTGGTACTGGAGCTTGAACTCAGGGCCTCATGTTCTTGCTTGTTTTTTTTTTTTTTTCCCATTCAAGCCTGGCATTTTACAGCTTGACCTACACCCTTACTTCTGACCTTTTCTGGATAAGGAGTTAAAGAGTCTTCAGGAATATTTCTGCCTGGATTGGCTTTGATCTGCGATCCTTAGATCTCAGCCTCCTGAGTAGCTGGAATTACAGGCATGAGCTACCAGCACCCAGTTCTAGTAGCTAATTCTTATAATTTCTCCCCCAGTTTTACACCCCATTGGTTCCCTGAGGGGAAGGAATGTCACTTAACATGGAATGCCTGCAAACCCCTGACTGATGAACCAAATATGTGATATTACTCTTCTTCTTCTTCTTTTTTTGTCAGCATGGGGCTTTAAACTCAGAACCTGAGCGCTGTCCCTGAGCTCTTTTGCTTAAGGCTAGCCTCTTAATACCTTGAGCCACAGTGCCAATTCTGGTTTTCTGATGGTTAATTGGTGATAAGAGTCTCATAGACTTTCCTGTTCTGGCTAGCTATGAACCACGACCATCAGATCTCAGGCATCTGTGTTGATAGGATTACAGGCGTGAGCTTACCAGTGCCCGACTGACACAACCTCTTCTTGGGGAAGGTTCATGTCTCCTCTATGAGACACACAGGACCCCAGACAGCTGTACCAACTTGGTGTATGGCTTTTCCAGGGCTCTCCATCCGTGGACAGTAGAAAAATGTGGCCATGAGGACCTACACTGAGCTTCATCTCATGGCTCTGCCAAAACACAGTCCACTGGGCTGGGAAGGTGGCTCAGTGGTACAGTGTGTTTGCCTTGCATGCATGAGGCCCTGGGTTTGATTCCTCAGTACCAGATAAACAGAAAAAGCCAGAAGTGGCACTGTGGCTCAAGAGGTAGAGTGTTAGCCTTAAGCTGAAGAGCTGAGGGACAGCACCCAGGCCCAGAATTCAAGCCCCACGACCGACATAAATAAAACAAAAAACCCCACAGTTCATCGTAGTGCATACCTTGTGAAGTCTCATGACATTCTGGATGAAGAAACGATATGCATTGTACCAGGGGAGCAATACATCCTTCAGAACGTCCCGCACACCTTCCTCCTTAAAGCGGAGATTTTCTGCTCTCACCACAGGGGAATTAATCAGATATAACCTGAAGAGGGAGATATTTCATGCAGGAAAGTTCCATAGCAAAGCAAATATTGACATACTAACAGGGCAAGATTTAAACTATATACTTTCTACAAAATGGGAAGCTTGTGAATATGCTAAACAGTCAATTTGCAACACATAGGATTCTTACTTTGTGTATGACACCTAACAAATTAAAGGATAGAACCAGATGGAACCCCATAGCAAAACATGGCAGGAACAAGAGGAGGGTTGGTCAGATCCTTAACATGAGCCAGTTCCTCTGTTCTATGGATACTAGTCATATTCCTGGCATAGGAGAACATGGGTTCAACAGAACAGCTGTCCCAGAATGAGTGCAGTCTAGAACGTCGGTAGCAGAGGTCAAGGATGCTGCTAAACATCTCTAGGACAGCCCTTGCAATAAAACACCCTCTGATCTTAGGCTATGCATGACTGTGTCTGATGGTACAAGCTATGGGGCTGGGAGTAAGTTTTACCTAGGACTTAAGGATGCTAAAGATGACGTTTATGTCCCTTTCAACTCGAAGAATGTGTAATTTCATGATCATGGCTACTTGAAGCAATGGCTCTAACTTCTTCTAAATGGTTCTGCAACTTCTTCAATATTAATTTTTTATTCTTGTATAAAGGTATCCTCGGGCTGGGAAGGTGGCTCAGAGGTAGAGCGCTTGCCTTGCATGCATGAGACCCTGGGTTCGATTCCTCAGCACTCCATAAGCAAAAAGAAAAAAGCCAGAAGTGGTGCTGTGGCTCAAGTGGTAGAGGTCTAGCCTTGAGCTGAAGAGCTGAGGGACAGTGCCCAGGCCCAGAGTTCAGGCCCTACGACCGGACCAAAAAAAAAAAAAAAGGTATCCTATGTTCTAAAAATCTAAAATAAAATGGACAATGGGATAATTCTACTACCAATAAGGAATCTAAAAGGAAGCATAATAGAGCAAGCCCAGGGATGCCTTAGATGGCTCATAAAATCTAGAATAAGTCTTCCACAAATAGACTATTAGGTTAGAAAATATTTTAAAAACTATGCTTAGGATTTAAAATTAGCAACTATATCAATGTAACGTTCCATATAACATAGATCCATAGTTAAAAACAAATTTAAGATTTTGATTAGTAGGATTGGAGATGCTGTCATAAAAAGCGAAAAGCAGTCGCAAGGCAAAGTACTGGTTAGTACCTGAGTGCATCAGCACCATACTTCTGGATGATCATAATTGGATCTGGATAATTCTTTTTTCTTTTGCTCATTTTTTGTCCATCACTGTAAAAGAAAAGGAAGATGTCAATTAGACAATTAAATAAGTGACCCTTCCACATGAACACAGATTATTTGCAGAAAGAAATATATAAATGCATGTCTGTATGAAATTACATTAACTTAGATACAACTAGTGAGTGTTAAGGCACAACAATAAGGTAGCTTTGTTGACTCTAAATACCATGATTAAATCTATGGATAAAGCTTCAGGGTAGATTAGAGAAGATGCCTAGCATTTATCAAAGAAAAATGAAAACTTAGCACTCACAAAAAAATGTACACAAATGTTTATGATAACTTTCTTCACAATCACCAAACAGAGAACCCAGATTGCCTTCCAGAGGTGGAACGCTGGGAAGTGTGAGACCCTGGCTTTGAACCCAAAAGCAAAATAAAACAAAAAAAGTGAAATGTAAAATGAAAAGTTTTGTTTTTTTTTGATATGGGGCTTGAACTCAAGGGCCTCACACACTCACACATTCACTTAACATTTTTATTCAAGGCTAGTGCTCTACCCATCCCCATATCAAGCTTTTTGCTAGTTAACTGAAGATAAAAGTCCCATGTACTTTCTGCCTGGGCTGGCTTTGAACTTAATTCTTAGATCTCAGCCTCATGAGCAGCGGGGACTACAGGCATGAGACACCTATGTCCAGTTGAAAAGATTTTCTGATATCTATGTGCAACATCCAGACCTCTGAGGAATTCCGCTGAATGGAAAAGGGTTAATCTTCCAAAATTATATATTAGCTGTCTAATTTTATTGTTGTTTGCTTGTTTTGATGCCATTCTTAGGGCTTGAACTCAGGGCCTGGACACTGTCCCTAAGCTTTTGTGTTCAAGGCTATCACTCTACCAGTTGAGCCACAGCTCCACTGCTGGCTTTTTCCTGTGCTGGCTGACTTTCATTCTGGATCTTCAGATCTCAGCCTCCTGAGTATCTAGGATTACAGGCAAGAGCCACCAGTGCCTAGCCATGGGTATGTAATATTCTTAAAATGATGAAATCACAGAGATGGAGAACAGGTTACTAGAGATTGGGAATGGTGTGTCAAGGGTTCATGTGGGGTAAATAATGTTATAAAGACTAACAGAGATTTTTTTATGGTATTGAGTGCCTGGGTGGAGTATGACCTGACTTTCACTAGCTCTGATCCTGACATTCCTGAGAGACAGCGCCCAGGCCCAGAGTTCTGGCCCCACAACCGGACCCAAAAACAAAACAAAACAAAATAAAATAATAAAATAAATAAAAAAAGGAAGGGTGCTGGAGGTGTGGTTCAAGCAAGCATAAACTCTGACTTCAAATTCCAGTACTGGACATAAAAAGAAGAAAAGAAACAAAAAGTCTCAGATGAGAAAGGGAAAGATTAGAGGTGGAATTTAGCTAAATTCTTCTATTTAAGAAAGAAAATGTGGCTTAAGTGCAACCAGAGTATGGTTGTTTTGAAAACTTCTGGGAGATAAGAGCAGAGTATGTGGGCTGGAACTAGTCACTTCAGAGAACAGTAGACAGACTTACCTTGCTAGGACAAGTCCATTTACAATCACATTCTTGAAAGGTGGTTGTCCAAAGAGGGCTGTGGCCAGCACCAACAGAGTGTAAAACCTGTACAAAAAACAAAACAAAACAAAAACCTCAGGAAAACCAGAAAGAAATTGAAGCACAGGAAAAAAAAAGTATTGCTTACTAGATTGAACCTGTATTTGATACATTATACTTTTTGATAATCATCACATAAAGCAATTATTCTGATTGTACATCAGAATCATTTAGGATAGGCTAAGATATACAGAAGTACAAAATTCACAGGTCAATCAAATTAGGAGTCTTTGGTTTGCAAAACAAAATTTGCTTTGAACAGTAATGTGCTGACCCTCTTGCTGCTACCAGGATCTCCAAAGGAGGGGAATCCTCACTTCTTTGGAGCCAGTGATCTGGCCAGAAATGCATGCTTAGAACAGCTGGTATAGATGGGACATTCTGATGGAAAAATATGTAAAAAACATTCAAGTAAAACTCAAAAGACTGGCTAGGCCGGGCACCAGTGGCTTACTCCTGTAATCCTAGGTACTCAGGAGGCTGACATCTGAGGATTGCAGTTCAAAACCCAGCCTGGGCAGGAAAATCTGAAGACTTTTATCTCCAGCAGTGGCACAGTGGCTTAAGTGTTAGAGTGCTAGCCTTGAACTGAAGAGCTGAGGCCCAAAGTTTAAGCCCCACAAAAAAAAAAAAAAAAAAAGGACTGGCTAGGTGCTAGTGGTTCATACCTATAATCCTAGCTACTCAGAGGATGAGACTTGAGGATCCTTCAAAGCCAGCTTGGGCAGATAGAAATCTGGGTCTCTGATCTCAAAGTAGCCAGCAAAAAGCCAGAAGTGTGAGTCTCAAGTGGTAGAATGACAACCTTGTGAGGAAAAAACTAAGGAAGATCTTGAGGCTCTGGGTTCAAGCTCTAGTATAAATGCAAACAACAGGTCTGGGAAGGTGGCTCAGTGGTAGAGCACTTGCCTTGCAATGCATGAGACCCTGGGTTCAATTCCTCAGCACCACATAAGCAAAAAAATAAATTAAAAAAAATAAATGCAAACAACAACAACAACAACAAAGTCTAAAGACTATATTACATATGTTACAGAAGTCTAGAAAAACCTTTATTTGGAGTTTGGACCAAGTACAAAACAAAGCCCTGAGCTTAAACCTCAGTATCAGTAAACAAAGCAACCAACCTACTTTTTTCTTTGTCAGGCACTATGCATTGCTCACACCCATGTTATTTATTATTATCTAGGGTGATGTTCTCATGCTACCCTACAAGAAAAATGAACCCATGGGGAGGAGACTAGACTTTAATCTTAACATAACTATAGGCCCAGAAAGCCCTGTTTCCAAAGAGGCAGCCAGTCCTAAAGGAATAGGAAAAGGACAGAGAAGTCACAGGACTCAGTAAAATTTTAATATGTAACACTTCATCTTTCCTTAGAGAAACAAGCTCACTAGAAAATCATCTGCCCTACCTAAAAACCCAGAATTTGTTTCTAGAGTCTGTTCTTATGGATAAATGGGTTGAAATCTGGAAACAGCTAGCTCATGGTACAACCCTACAGCATGAATCCATTAACTAACACAAGTTGAAAAAGCAGAAAATATCAATTGTTTAATTTTACTCAAAGCAGCATTAATAAGGGAAGTATTTAAGTAATGGACTAATGAACAGTCTGAAGCAGGGGGGAATAACAGTCTGACTTGGCCCCAGCTACTAATACTGGCTTAATAAAATCAACCAGAACACTTGCAGGAAGAACAGGCATACCATCCTCTGGTTTGGTCAATGCCTTCAGCAATGAAATCTGCAGGAAAAGCATCTTCAAACTCCTTCTTGTTTTCAAATGGATAATGAACTTGAGCATAGGGCATGCTGCCACTCTCAAACCAGCAGTCAAATACTTCTGAGATTCGCCGCAATGAGCCTTTCCCACAACGGGATGGAATAGTAAGGTGGTCAATGCTAAAAACAAAAGTTGCAACTTTAAGTTAAGCACAATGGAACTTGCAGTTTAAGCATCAGTAGGAATCACAAAGCGCTGACAAGATTGTAGTTATGTACAATATTTTGGTCGATGAGGACGGTGTATACAAGTAATCTCATAAGATCATAATGTAGCTATAGAAATCCTGTCACTTAGTGACACTGTTGTAGTCCTAAAACTGTAGCACAATGTATCATTCACTTGTTTGTGAAGTACACAAACCTACTAAAGCTACAAGATGTATAAAAGTACTGTATAGTACATATTATGCTACTGGCACCCATTTACAGCTTATGTTTAACATGTGTCTTGATGCCATCTAGAAGTTGACTATGTTGAAGAATGATTGCTCTGTACCATCTAAGTTTGTGAAGCATGCTCTAGGATGTTTGTATCATAGCACAATTTTAAAAGAACACATACTATGAATAAATAATGCATGAACTATGTGCATTTACAGACTGAAATAGCAGTTCTTAAAAGCTTTCAGAGAAAATGAACTATATAACTGTAGGTGGGAATGAGAGGGAAAAACAAAGGGGTGACATCCAAAAAGAAATGTACTCTTTATCTTTGTACATTACCTTTATAATAACAATTAAAAATTAAATTAAAAAGAAAAAAAGCTTTCAGGGAGCATCAGGAGTGTCCAGTCATACACCAAAGTCACCTGATGTTTTAATCAAAGAGAGAGGGCAACTTATCTCAGCTCGACATGAACTATCAACAAAGTAATTACTAAACTAGTGTTTTACAGGTATACCTGCAATGCACTACAGACTGTGTGGTAACAGGAGGGTGACAGGACTGAAGTAATTCAAGCATTCAAAAACTAACCTCTCTCGGTGGAGATCTGAGATCTTTACTCCTGACAGTTCTTCAAGTTCTGCCATGGATCCAATGCAAACTACCTATGAAAAAGCAAAGTGAAGAACAGGAGTTCCTTAGTGCCAGAGATCATGCTGAGTTAATTCATATAAATGAGACTCATGTTTAGTTTAAGAAATTTCTGATTTTCTTTAGAAGTTCATTAAGAACTACAAGCATGGCTCAAGTAGTAGAGTTACCTGTTCAGCAAGTGCAAAATTCTGAGTTCAAACTCCAGTACTGCCAAAAAGCCAAAACCAAACCTTAGTCTGGGCTGAAGGACATGGAAAAGGCAAATGCTAATTTTTCTTTTTTTTAATTGTGAAAATATTGTACAGAAGGGTTACAATTACATGGCAAGATAATGAGTACATTTCTTATCAAGCATTGTAGCCTCCTCCTTTGTTTCCCCTTCCCCCGCCCCCAACCCTCCTCCCCCATCCCCCAGCAAATGCTGATTTTGCTACTTTGTTACCCATACCTGTACCAGAAGGTTCCTACATACAGAGAATTTTAAATATTCAGTCATGGCATGTGTGCATGTGTGTTGGTACTGGTGTTTGAACTCAGGGTCCTGAGTCCTCTTTTGGCTTTTTTACTTATAGATGATGCTCTATCACTTGACTCATACTACAGAGAATTTTAAATATTCAGTCATGGCATGTGTGCGTGCGTGCATGTGTACATATGTGCTGGTACTCCTGAGTTCTCTTTTGGCTTTTTTACTCATAGATGATGCTCTATCACTTGACTCGTGTGTGTGTGTGTGTGTTGTGTGTACATATGTGCTGGTACTCCTGAGTTCTCTTTTGGCTTTTTTACTCATAGATGATGCTCTATCACTTGACTCGTGTGTGTGTGTGTGTTGTGTGTACATATGTGCTGGTACTCCTGAGTTCTCTTTTGGCTTTTTTACTCATAGATGATGCTCTATCACTTGACTCGTGTGTGTGTGTGTGTGTACATATGTTACATATGTGCTGGTACTCCTGAGTTCTCTTTTGGCTTTTTTACTCATAGATGATGCTCTATCACTTGACTCATACCCCCAGCCCAGCATTTTGCTAGAGATAAGGGTCTTTCAAATCTTTCTGTCTGGGCTGGCTTCAAACTAAGATTCTCAAGATTAGCTTTCTCAGTAGCTAGGATGACAGGCTTGAGTCACTGGTGCATAGATTAATAGTTATTTTTGAAGGATTTACTATATGCAAATCTCTGCCAAAAACAACCTGAAGTTTATTCTAAGGCATCTTAGTTTCTTTCTGATCTCTGAATCTGGCTCTTTAACTGGAATCCAAAGATAATTCTAGAACTAAATTATATACTAGATCACAACAAAAAAATCAGGATTGTATCTGGGTAAAGAGCTTAGAGGAGAGGCTTTGGCACCTAGAATGTGATGATCATCTGACAGGAGCTGTACCAACAGGAATGGCTGAGGCTTTCAGCCAGGAAGGGCTTCTGCTACCTACAGGTGCTCCTGGCCTCTGTCATAATCTACTAATCTCTGGGGTACTATTGCTTATTATTGCTGCAAAGCTTGACACTACACAGAAAGCCCTACCATGGAAGTATGCATGCATGATTATCTATCATCTATTTACACACACACACACACACACACACACACACACACACACACACACCACAAAATTAGAAAGTTAAAGGTCTGCCATGCTTTGTTTAACTTAAAAAAAATCGCCAAGTTTTCCTTTAACCTTAGGTTAATGCTACAGTGATTAAGAGGACATCAAGAGAAATCAATACAACACAAGAAGTAAACAATGGGGATTTCCCTGAGAAAAACACTGTGTATACGTGTGCGTGCGTGGGCAGGTGTTGATATTGGCACTTGAACTCAGTGCCTGGGCACTATCCACTAGCTTTTTCCCTCAAGGCTGGCACTCTACCACTTAAGACACAATTCTACTTCCAGCTTTTTGGTATTTAGTTGGAGATATGAGTATCACAGACTTTCTTGCCTAGCTGGCTATAAGCCATGACCCTCAGATTTCAGCCTCCAGACTAGCCAGGATTACAGACATGAGTGACTAACAACTGGCTACCAACTGAATTTTTCTTTTTTTTGTTCCACTCCTGGGGGTCGTTAACTCAGTACCTGTGTGCTATCCCTGAGTTTTGTTTTTTTTAAACGCAAGGCTAACATTCTACTATTTGAGCCATAACACCCTTTCTGCTAAGGGTCTCACAAATCTGCCCAGCTGGCTTCAAACTTCAATTTTCAGATCTTAGCCTCTTGAACAGCAAGAATTACAGGCTTGATCTACTGGCACCTGGTCAAATTGTGTTCTTGTAAAATAAAAATTAAAACTCTAAAACTAGATTCTTATATCATCCCACGAGGAAATAAAACAAAACATGAGGAAATAAAACACTAAGAAAGCAGCAGCAGAAAAAAAAGCCGTATTTTTATACCACATTCATAAACCACAAAGTAGCAAAAGTGAACATAAAGACATATGATGCTACCTCACCTCCTTCAAGTCTTCACTGACCCACAGTGGGATGGGGGTGCCCCAGTATCTGTTTCTGGAAATTGCCCAGTCATGTGCATCTTTTAGCCAATTTCCAAACCGCTTTTCTCGTACAAACTCTGGGACCCTGCCATAAACAGATTATCAATTATGTAAGAACCTATATAAGACAAAAGCCTATGTGCAATTCTTTGTGGACTGAACACTCTAGAAATGCTGAGCTCACTGCGAGAAACATGTCTTCTGGATATGTCTTCAGTACATGCAACCACCTGTGCTGTCACCACTGATTCTTAGCATACATGCCTGCCACACTCACCTCTCCACCTTCCTCTCAGCTCAAGATCCAGTAATAAGGCAATTTCCTCAGCTTGCAGTTTCTCACCTGTCTTTGCTGTCTCTCCTTCTCTGCCATCCCTCCCATTCCCAGTATTATTGCTTCTGACAGAAGAAAGCTCCTAATCCCTAGAGGGTTGGCTCCATATGATCCTTCCTAAACATAGGAATGAGTCAGAGCACTCCAAGGCTCTCAAGTTATTCTCTTCTCTCTTTTTGTTTGGTTGGTTATGGGGCTTGAACTCTGGGCCTGGTGCTGTCCCTGAGCTCTTCAGCTCAAGGTGAGCACTCTACCACTTGAGCCACAGTGCCTTTTCTGGTGGTTAATTGGAGATAAGATGACTTTTTTGCCTGGGCTGGCTTTGAACTGTGATCCTCAGATCTCAGCCTCCTGAGAAGCTAGGATTACAGGTGTGAGCCATCAGCATCTGGCTTTCTTCTTCTCTTCATTATTACACTTAGCATCCTACACAAATCAGTTTCTATGTCCACAGTCATCTTACTACCATTCTGTACCCAGTACCTCACACACTGGAGAACTAATGAGCTTGCTATCCATAGAAATTCAAAACTTGTTTTAAGAAAGATGAGGATGCTTTTACTATACTAGAAAAAATTACAACTTGTAAACCACATCTTCTATTATCCATTCTCCCAAAATCCAATGTATTGCTGAGGCCTTGTGGGAAGTACAAATTTCAGTGTAAACTCCCAGTGAAAAATGTTTTTTGAAATACATAAAGCCTTTTTCCATTTTTGTACACACAGGCTGAAAGGATGTAATTTCCCTCAGATGTCTGTGTTGTGACATCTCCACAAAGACAAGAGCAGGAGGCATCACTTACCCCAGGACTAGATGTGATAAAGCATTAAGAAGCTTTGGCAGATACAGACTAAAATAATGCTTATCATGAAATTAGACTCTTGAGTATAATCTCAGGGTCATTTCCCAGCAAGTGGCAGTTGCTTATTTCCATTGTATGTATAAGTAAAGGTCTGGCCCTGGCATTGTTCCTGACCTTTTTTTTTTTTTTTTCATTTTTTTTTGGTCCGGTCGTGGGGCCTGAACTCTGGGCCTGGGCGCTGTCCCTCAGCTCTTCAGCTGAAGGCTAGCACTCTACCACTTGAGCCACAGCGCCACTCTCGGCTTTTTTCTTTTTGCTTATGGACTGCTGAGGAATCGAACCCAGGGCCTCATGCATGCAAGGCAAGCGCTCTACCACTGAGCCACCTTCCCAGCCCCTGTTCCTGACCTTTTTTGCTCATGATTAGCACTCTACCACTTGAGCCACAGCTCCACTTTTGACTTTTTGGTGGTTTGGCTTCAAATTGTGATCCTCAGATCTTAGCCTCTGAGTGGTTAGGATTACAGGCATGAGCCACTGGTATTCTAGTTGTCATGTTTCAAAAAATATAATTTTATTGTTGTTATTAATGTGCTGTACAGAAGTATTATCATTTCATAAGTCAGGTAATGAGTACATTTCTTTTTTGGACAGTATCACCTCTTTCTTTACTTTCTCCCAGTTTCCTCCTCTGATCCCTAACTACAAGTTACGTAAGTCATTTTTCACATAGTGGACAATGAATAGCAAAATTTCAATTGTTCACCATTGTTTTAAAAAAAGGCCAATGCTTCCTTGCATGCTGTATTATAAGAAGAGTATTACTTTTGTCCTAAAATATTGAATTATTTTGTGTGACAACATATGGAATAAAGACAACTGATACAATAAACAACAAAAGATGACTATTAATTTGGAGGGAGTATGACTTACTATTAATTTGACCATTAATTTGAAAAGGACAGTATGAGTAAACATGTCATGCTTACCAATAACACAGGTCGTTGTTCTTCAGAAGCTGGTCCGCCATGTGCTCCACGCGCACAAACCAGCTGGGCACCGCTTTGTAAATGAGTGGGGTATCTGACCTAAGAACAATGAATCACAGATATAGCTGGGTAGATGGGGGTATGCAGGCACCCAGAGGAAGATCAATTTTCATTCTCTTACTAACATCACCACTGTCTTCTCAGCTAATATTCACTTTCATTATATAAACATCTGTTTCTAAAACTGTTCAGCTCTCTTCATGATACAAGAAGCTAAAAGCTAAAATAAGAGTAAGATTAGAGCCAAGTTCTTGTGATTCATGCCTGTAGTCTTAACTGCTTAGGAGGCTGAGATCTGAGAATTTCAGTTTGAAGCCAGCCTGGGAAACAAATCTGTGAGACTCTTATCTTCCATAAATCACAAAAAGCTGGAAGTAGAGGTATGGCTCATGTGGCAGGGTACCAGTCTTGAGCAAAAAAGCAAAGTAAGAATGTTAGGTTGAAATGAGATGTACAAGTCGCTATGTTGAAAAAGGAACTTTACAACTTTGGTGGGGGGGGCGGGGGGGGGGAACTTTGGTGGGGGGGGTCCGGGGGAGGAGGAGGATAAGAAGGGATGGGAAGGAGAAACAAAGGAGGAGGCTACAATGCTTCATAAGAAATGTGCTCATTATATTTCCCATGTAATTGTAACCCCTCTGTATAGTATTTTCACAATAAAAAAAAAAGAATGTTAGGTTGAGTTCAAGCCCTAATGCTGGCAGAAAAAACAAACCACTACCACCACAACAAAACAACAACAAAAAAATAGGATTAGAAATAAAACAGTTCTGTTCATGAGTTTTTGAGGTATGATATGAATGTTAACACAGAGAAGGAAATGTGGAAAATGAATTTTAGGCTAATAAATGTTACACTTGCATCTGAATATTTATGTTGTTATTCCCCCCCCCCCCCCCAGGCACTGTGCATTAGCTTTTTTGTTTGTTGGTTGAGTGCTGTCCCTCAGCTCTTCAGCTCAAGGCTAGCATTACCACTTAAGCCACAGCACCACTTCTGGCCTTTTCTGCTTATGTGGTGCTGATGAATCGAACCCAGGGCCTCATGCATGCAAAGCAAGCATTCTACCACTAGGCCCCTTTCCCAGCCCCTGTCCATTAGCTCTTTGCTTAAGCTTGGTGCTCTACAACTAGCTCTACTAGCTTTCTGAATTAGAGATAAAAGTCTCAGACTTTCCTGCTTGGGCTGGCTTTGAACTGCAGATCTCAGCCTCCTGAGTAGCTGAGATTATGGGCACAGACCACTGGACCCAGTCTACATTATGATCTTCTATTAAAATCTGACAAAACCATTAGTTTCTCAATAAATCCTACTATAGAATTGCAGAAATATTGGTCAGCCTGAAACCAAATGTAGTGACAACACAAGATAAATTTGCATATCTCTTCTTTCTGTTTTTAATTTGGGGGTTGTTACTGGGGTCTGAACTTATTAGGGTTTGACTTGCTAGGCAGGTCCTCTGCTACTTTAGCAGGTGTGCCAGCAAATATGTCTATTTTTGTCACAGTGTACCTAGGGAAAGAGACAATTTAATGCATTTATAAAACTCTCTTCCATTTGAAATAAGGGAATTTCTAAGCACTAATTGTAGGTTACACATAAAATGGATCTACAGATTTAAAGGTACAGCACACACAAGTATACAAACACACTTGAAGCTCTACTACAAGTCTTTTTCTCCTCTTACCTCCAGCAGAACGGGTAGCTGTGAGTGAAAGTGCTGGCAATAAGAAGTCGGCCATGTTCCTTCAGTGTCCTGATGATATTTTTGTCAGCATCCTTTTTTTAAAAAAATAGAAAACTTAGTCAGTAAACAACATACCATACTCAGTAACAATGCAATTATATTACTAAATTCTGACCTTTTGTTGTGAAATAAAAGACACAAGTAACACATTTCATTTAAAATTAGTCTGTTTAAGTCAGGCTCAGTGGCTCATATCAGTAATCCCAACTCTCAGGAAGAAGGGATAAAGTCAGCACAGGCAAAAGATTTAATGAAACTCTTATCTCAATCAAAAAGCTGAATGTGGCGGCCCATGGCCGAGGTCCCAGCTACTCAGGAAGCCATAGGTAGAATGTTGTTCAGAGGCTGGTCTAGACAAAAACATAAGGCACTACTCAAAAAAATAGCTAAAGTAAAAAAGGTCTGGAGGCAAGACCAAGTGGCAGAGCAACCATAAGGTCCTGAGTTCAAACCTAATTTTGCCAAAAATACAACACACACGCACACATACACATATATATGTACATATTATACATATATACAATGCTCTGTTCAGGGGACAAGATACAACTCAGTGGTAGAAAGCTTGCCTAGCATGCATAAGGCTCTGGGTTCAATCCATAGCAAAACAAAAAAACAGCAGCAACAAAAAGCAAACTGCTCATTTTTAACCATTCAAGTATTTTAAGTACTTAATATTACATTCCACAACACTTAAGGTGGTGAAGGTTTCCATCAGAAATGATTTAGGGTCAAAAGATAACTTTATGAGACATAAATCAGATTTTCTGACTTCTATATTTAAAGCTAAAGCAACATTGCCTCTAAGATGACTCTTTGAGAGGAGCTGATATGTAGTGGGAAAAAAATCCAAAAACACTAAAAGACAAAATAAAAATAACTTATTGGATTGATTACAACTCAGTTATAAATAATGAAGGATATCAATTAGTTGCACTAACTTTCTCAGTGGGGGAAAAAAACCTGATGAAGTAAGTATGATAAGACCAAATCTTCTACATTATATGAACTACAGACCTTCACATACTGTCCCATGAAATCTGTCACTTCTGCTGTGAAGCAGCCTGAAGCATCCACAGGGCAAATGGGGACTGAGTCTTTCTGAATAATGTTGGCATCCATACAGACTCGATAGTCATCCTGGGAAAGGCAACAGGAGGCAGGGTGGAGAGAATAGAACAGAAAAAACAAACAAAAAAAGTGGTTGTGGAGAAAGAAGGAAGCATAAGATAGATTTGGGAGGATTTTTCAATATTTCAGTATCTATACTGGATCACTTCAGCCTCTTAACTGAAGATGACACAAGACCATTTAGAGAATGAAAAGCCTCAGAGCCAGGCAGAAATCAGACCATCCAGCCCTATTTTCCCCACCATTATAATGACACAAAACTGTCCTAAAACTAAATCAAATTTGACTTGTCATAACAGCAAATAAGTACAGCTGGGAAAGAAAAGTAATACACAGGTATGAGGCATGAACTATTTAGTACATGGGACTAATATACACACAGATGAAATATCCCTTACACCCTTGTCAAGAGACACCCTAAAGGATGGACACATTGATCTAAATTAAGTAAACTGGCCTCAGATAGCATAGCTGCCCTAGATTACCATCATGCTTCATAATATGTGTTAATAATTAATAATAATTAGAGCTCTAGTCAGGCAATGGTCTGAGCACTTTACCTCATTAGCTTATCTCACCCTAACAAGGATGCTGGGAGAAGGCAGACTGGTTAGGATGGGAACTGTATATACAAGTTTCCTGAGCCATCTGGGGGCAATGAGCCAGAAAACAGGCTAACCCAATGGATTAGACACAGTAAAGAACTTTAGATCCACAGCTTATCATCCTATGATATTTACTTCTCACAAACACATTCATGGAATTATGTTACTCACAGCACCGAAGTAAGGGGCTTGATGCACAACCCCTGTGCCTTCTTCCTCCTTCACATAGTGGTCAACAAGCACACTGAAAGCACCCTTCTCTTTATACTGGAAAAGAAAGGCCAGTCTGTATTAGGGTACAATAAAATGGGTTCAAATATGATAAGAACCTGAAAACAAAACATTCAACATGTGAAGTTATTTTTAGATAAGAGTTCACCATTATTATAGGTTAGAAAGAAACATATTGATCTGGTACTCCATTTCCTTAGATCATGGCTTACCACATACATAGGATATAATTATCTGAAGACTTGCAGAAAAATTTTCTAAACTCTCTGACCAAATAAGTGGGTCTTTTCATTACTCCCAACCACCACAATTGTCCCAGTATGAGTTTATTGTACTGTCTCAGAAAACTTGTTCCCTCCTTAGCACAAAAAAATGCTGGGTTCAATCTCCAGCACCAAAAAGTGCTTTCCCGAAAAAGTACTCCCTAAATAACTCACTTCCTAGTGCATTTTCAGTCAATATGTGTGCTTTGGTTCTCCTTTTCCTTTTAATTAAGTTCAAGCTCTTTAGACATTAAAGTAAAATATGTCATTACATAATCATGCCTGTAATCCAACTAGAAGTGAGGAGGCTGAGATCAGAGAATTTGAAGCCAGTTCAGGAAGAAAAGCCTGAAACATTCTATTTCCACCATGGCTCAAGTTCTAGTGGACCAGACAAGCAAGTTAGCCCAGCAAGTTCAAAGCCTTAAGTTCAAGTGTTGATTGACACCAGTGCACACACACAAACATGCAAGAAAACACACACACACACACACACAAACACACACAAAATATTTCTGGCCTTACTATTCCCAAATAAAGCTTAAGTGGCTTGTCCAAATCATATCGGCTAACAGTGATAAAACCTGAAGAAACCTCTTCTGGCTTATCAAATGAGCTGTTCGTTTTAACTACACATACCATGGCATTCTGCTTCCTTACATCTTAAAACTGAATCTTTAATTGCTCTAACTTAAGTCACCTTGAAATAATTTAAAAAAATTTTTTTTTGGGGGGTCCAGTTGTCGGGCCTGAACTTTGGGCCTGGGCACTGTCCCTCAGCTCTTCAGCTCAAGGCTAGCACTCTACCACTTAAGCTACAGCACCACTTCTGGCTTTTTTGTCTTTTTGCTTATATGGTGCTGAGGAATCGAACCCAGGGCCTCAGGCATGCAAGGCAAGCGCTCTACCACTGAGCCACCTTCCCAGCCCCCTTGAAATAATTTTGTAAGGTGTTGCATGAAGGTGTTAGGAAGTCTTTGACATCATAGGTTTTTGTTTTTTTTTGGTGGGTTGTGGGGCCTGAACTCTGGGACTAGGCGTTGTCCCTCAGCTTTTCAGCTCAAGGCTCGCATTCTACCACTTGAGCCACAGCGCTACTTCCTGCTTTTTCTACTTATGTGCTACTGAGGAATCAAACCCAGGGCCTCATGTTTGCAAGGCAAGCACTCTACCACTGAGCCACCTTCCTAGCCCCAACATTGTAGGTTCTTAAAATCATATGCACACAGGAAAAACCATGGAGTATCAATGGATCTAATTATAAGTGAAGAAAGGCATCACTGCCCTCTGGTCCATTTCAGAATATACCTAAGCTGGGCTGGGAAGGTGGCTCAGTGGTACAGTGCTTGCCTTGCATGCCTGAGGCCCTGGGTTCGATTCCTCAGCACCACATAAACAGAAAAAGCCAGAAATGGCACTGTGGCTCAAGTGGTAGAGTGCTAGCCTCGAGCTGAAGAGCTGAGGGACAGTGCCCAGGCCCTGAGTTCAAGCCCCATAACCAACAATAACAAAAAAAGAATATAGGGGGAAAAAAAAAAGAATATACCTAAGCTGAGTCTGGGCAGCCTTCCTGGCCAGCTCAGCACATACCACTAAGGGCTGCAATGCTGTCCCTAAGGCAGCAAATATAATCATAGCTCCCCTTAAGATTTCAGAACAGGAGGTGGCTCAGTGGTAGAGTGCTTGCCTTGTATGCATGAGGCCCTGGGTTTGATTCCTCAGCACCACATAAGCCCAGGCCCAGAATTCAGGCCCCACAACTGCCCCCCCCCCCAAAAAAAAAGAAAAAAAAAGATTTCAGAACAGTTGAGTGCTAGTGGTAATCCTAGCCTACTCAGAAGGTTGAGATCTGAGGACTACAACTTGAAGCCAGCCTAGGCAGGGAAGTTTGTGAGACTCTTATCTCCAATTAGTCATGACAAAAAATCCAGAAGTAGAGTTGTAGTTCAAGTGGTAGAGTGCCAGCTAAGAAAAAGATAAAAAGCTAAGAGACAGACCTAAGGCCCGAGTTCAAGCTCCAGTGCCAGCACACATACACAGAAATATTTCAGAACAGTGTAATTTAGGTGTGTATTATGCAGTTTGGTCCCAAGCAGAACATATAATATTTGCATACAATTCATTGAAGGTCTGAAGATAAATCAGGAAGCTTATTTAGTGGATAGGTGCTATTCACTTTATTCCAATATATGCTGGGTGATTATTCCAGAGAGAAGTTTGACTTCAGCTGACTGTTCCTGTCTAGGGTAGGTAGCCCTGTGTATTGCTGTGAGTGAGCCAAGTTTTCCTGTTTTTTTTTTTCTTTCTTTCTTTCTTTTTTGGTCAGTTGTGCGGCTTGAACCAAGGCCTGGGTACTGTCCCTGAGCTATTTTTGTTCCAAGCTAGTGCTCTACCACTTTGAGCCATAGTGCCACTTCCAGTTTTCTGGTGGGTAAGTGGAGATAAGAGTTTCACAGACTTTCCTGCCCAGGTTAATTTTGAACAGTGACCCCCAGACTCCTGAGTAGCTAGGATACAGGTGTTAAGCCACCATTGCAGGGCTACTGAGATTCTTAATAGGGTTGTAATTTGGAAATATGAAGAGTCTCTCAGATAAGGAAGAGATTTTCAACAATGAACATGTATGATATACAAAAGAATGTAGGCAAATTTTTCAAAGGCATATCGAAGAACTTCTGTTAAAGAAGGCATTTTAGTTCAGACATGAAGCAGGAAAAAAAAAAGGATGTTTAAAATGGGAGGAAATTTTTATGAAAAAAGATGGAAAAAAAAAGAGTCAGTGGGCAGCAGGACAAGGGTCCATTGGTAAATGGTCAATGGCTTGCAAAGAGAATGGGTCAAGGGCAGAACACACAGAAATGTTGAACTTCAACTTGAAAGTCATTAAGGAGAAGTAGAAAGACGTGAGGAATCAAGATAAAGAACACCCTGCTGTCAGTGGTAGAGCACTTGCCTTACATGCCTGAGACCCTGGGTTCGATTCCTCAGCACCACATAAGCAAAAAGAAAAAAGCCGGAAGTGGCGCTGTGGTTCAAGTGGTAGAGCGCTAGCCTTGAGATGAAGAGCTGAGGGACAGCGCCCAGGCCCAGAGTTCAGGCCCCATGACCGGACTCCCTCCCCCCCCCCCAAAAAAAAAGAAATATACTCATTACCTAACTTATGAAATGTTAAAATCCTCTGCATATCAGCAGTAAAAAAGGATATATATTAAAAAAAAATGAAGGAGATAAAGTTAGGACCTGTCGTAGTGCCTAGATTTAAAATATCTACCATGTCAAATTCCTTGAAGGAATTCTATATACTTTTACATATGATATTATATTCTGAACACTATCTTAAACTGTAAGAATTGTCACAAAAAAATTCTCCTAGCAGACTTAAGGACTAAAAATAAACACATTTAAATCTTATCGAAGCTGGGCACTGGTGACTTATACCTATAATCCTACCTACTCAGGAGGCTGAAATCTGAGGATTGTGGTTCAAAGCCAGACCAGCAGGAAGTCCATGAGACTTTTTTTTTTTTTTTTTTGCCGGTTGTGGGGCCTGATCTCTTGGCCTGGGTGCTGTCCCTCAGCTCTTCAGTTCAAGGCTAGTGCCACAACGCCACTTCCTGCTTTTTCTGCTTATGTGGTGCTTAGGAATCAAACCCAGGGCCTCATGCATGCAAGGCAAGCACTCTACCACTGAACTACCTTCCCAACCCTCCATGAGACTCTTTTTTTTTTCATTAATAAAATAAATGGTTTATGTTTTATTTATTTTTCCCATGACTCTTATCTCCAATTAACTACCAGAAAGTCAGAAGTGGTAGTGTGGTTTAAATTGGTAGTGTTAGCTTTGAGCAAAAAAGATCAGGGACAGTACCCAGGCCCCTAGTTCAAGCCCCATGACCCCTACCTGCCTCCCACAAAAATCCTATCAAATATAATGTAATTCCTTTTGAGAAAATTGTTTATATGCATTCCTATATAATTTTAATTTCAAATAAGAAAGCAGAATTAATGACAATGCTAAAGTAGAACTTTCAGATTCAGGCACATTAACCAGACCACTATAAGAATAAGACAATGTAAATTCCATTTCAGTTAGCAGAGTATGAAGAGCTGAAGAACAGTGTCTCTGAGCTTACCTTCAGAAAATAGTCAAACAAGGGCTTGTACTTCTTGCCTTTGAGATAGGCACCAGGGAACCTAGAAATAAGAGAAAAAGCAAATTCAAATGAACAATAAGGCTAAAAGAACCTAAGAAATGAAACTAAGTTACATTAAGTCACCATCCCTTCTGGTTAGTCACAAACAAATTAAACTTAGAACTTAATTTGAACATGAACATAACTTTCAGATAATAAAGCTATCTTTCTCTTTTTTTTCCTTGAAGCTTATACTGAGGCTCAGACTCAGGGCCTTCCATTGTTGCTTGGCCTTTTTGCTCAAAGCTAGTCCTTTGCCACTTTACGCCATGGTTATTCTTCTGGCTTTTTGCTAGTTAATTGAAGATAAGTCTCTGGATTTTCCTGCCTGGGCTGGCTTTAAACTTTGAACCTCAATCCTCAAATCTCAGCCTCCTGAGTAGCTAGGATTACAGGTATAAGCAACCAGTGCTAGCCTAAAACTTGTCTTTTAAAAAGCAATGTCAGACACACATACCCATCAATTATTTGAATAATCACCTTTCAAGGATCTCATAGTCACTTTCCAATTTATAGAGGGCTGATAATCTAGCTTCCATTAAAATGAGCAATTTTCCTCTGGCAACATCTATGAGAACAAGGAAAAAGAGTGGAGCTTAGTAATATTAGACCAGCTGACTTTAAATACAAACATCAGGCATGCTATTTTTTCTTACTGAGAAGCTTCTACATCTCTTGTACCTACAACTAGTGTGCCCACAACCCACAGAGGAACCCTGCAACGCTTCAAGGATGACAGTAAGACACAGACAGCAAAGGCAGTAAGTAGATACTATTAATTGTATTGATATCCCTTTTAAGAAAATTAGTGAAAATAAAATAAAATGAAAAAAAAATACAAACAAAAAAGAAAGAAAAAGAAAAAAAAGAAAATTAGTGATATACAAAGTTCTCTGTAATCTAATCCTTGTATATGTTTATTTAGTCATCTATTCATTTATTTTCTTTTTTATTTTTTTGGGGGGTCTGGTCATGGGGCCTGAACTCTGGGCCTGGGCGCTGTCCCTCAGCTCTTCAGCTCAAGGCTAGCGCTCTACCACTTGAGCCACAATGCCACTTCTGGCATTTTTCTTTTTGTTTGTGTG